ATATTTCCATTTCAACTTCCTTACGTACAATATTTTTTGTAACAAACTACTTAAATACAAGAAGATATTATTAATAAACTAATATGAACTATAAGAGTGGTTTTTTGTACCTACTAATGTTATTGTCTAATAAACCGATAATTAACAGCTTGACTGATCAATAGTCGAGATATTCGATACTTTGAGCTTTGTTTTCAACCATCGCTCATCACTACACAAGTATAAACCTAGTCCAGCCATAAGTTCTGTTACAAATGAAAATGCATTCTTTTTTAATGACGTAATGTAATATATTAAAGAATATACCTACATATTTATTAGTCTCAGCAAAAAATAAAAAAATAAATAGAATCATAAAATATAAAAAAATATTCTATTCGAAATGGGACACCTGTGTATTGGATTTTATGCAGGTCTTTAATCTGTTTGGCCACGAATCTATGGATTTACGCACTGTTTCCAAGGGAAATTTTACCACTTGCTCCAAAGATTTTTAAGAGACTCACTGTCGCCGTGTCGTTTAGAGCAGGCCATGTCAAGGGCGGATCCAGCTTTGGCGCCAGGTCATATAGTCATATAAAATGCTCTAAGAGTCATATAGTCGTGGTATATTAAATATTGAAAGTACTTAAATAAAATCCCCCTGGGTTTGGTCCATCTGTTTGTTGGATCCTCCTCTGGCAACACTGGCATAACAGCTGTTTTTGAATTGTCCCTTTATTTTTATTCAATAAAAATTATAAATCTAAAGAAATTGTGCTCTAAAACCAATAATATCATTAAATAATAATTAAATACTAAGTGCTAATATATAAAACGATTGTAAAGTGAGTGAAATTACGAAAAATAACCAGTGACAGTTACCGGCTTTATTGTGAATCATTGTCATCTGTTTTCAAGATATTTTCTTAATTACAGTAATTTATTTTTGTTGTAACAACATAATGATTTTTAAATGTTGTTACATTATGCTTTTAATGTTGTGGAGTTTTTTTCGCTCGTTATTCTCCGCAGCTAAAAAATATGTCCATAACGAGTGGTAGGGAAAAAAAATGTTTGGACGATTCAAAAGTGTTGTACTATACATCCAATTTGAATAAAGATATATTGATTTCTGATTTCTGTACCCAGCCCAGGGGGGGGGGTCATGACCCCCATGACCCCGCCCTGGATCCGCCCTTGGGCCATGTCCTCTAAAACTGACCATAATTTGAAGTCTAAAGAGTTGAGGTCTGGGCTAGAAGAGCGGCAGTCTTTAGCTCTTATAAAGTTCGGAACGTTGGTTTCACGGTATATTTAAAGAAAAATGTGTATTGCTGAGAGGTTTCGCAACATGATCGAAGACTGTATCTTGATATACTTCGGCTGAAGTTTTCACTCCTTTTTCACAAAAAAGAAATTTTTGTGACTCCTTGACAGAAACGAAGACAATCCCCACCTAAGCATCACTGACGCAGGATGATGACCACGTTGTACCTTTCCGACCACTTGAGCAGTTTCTTTAGAACTGTGAGCGTACACTTTATCATTTTTTTTTTATATTTTTTTTATGTTATAGGGGGCATACGAGCAGACGGCTCACCTGATGGTAAGTGATCACCGTCGCCCATGGACACTTGCAACACCAGGAGTATCACAAATGCGATGCCGGCCTTTAAGGAAGGAGTTAGGCTTGCTGAAAATATATCGATGTATCGATATATCGATATTTTTTGTTCGATATATCGATATTTTTAGCCGATATATTTTGATTCGATATATCGATACATCGATACAAAATAACCAATATCGAAATTCGTATCAAAAACGATATTTTTTTTTAATTATTAGCGGCATTCCACAATCTAACTAAATTCGTATCTGGAAAAGTCGTAACTGAAGCTAAGATTAATGATATTCAACATATCTATGATTTGTGCTGTATTTAGTATTTTCTATGATTTGTAAATCTGTTTCGCTGGTGAATTGGTTGTGCTGAATTCCAGTATATTCTGTGGAAGTGTGTGACTGTCTAGTGTTGTTTACGAAAGATGCCACGTAAGGAGGCCCTGCAATAATTTTCATCATTCGAAAATAGGGTCTATTTTTAGGGAGATAATTTTCGTTCCATTATTATTCCGCGTGTCATCTTTCGTGAGATATTGTACTGTCATGTAGTGTGGCGGCAATTTGGTACTTTGATAATTCTTTCTTTTATTATAATTTGTATTGTTATTATTGCTGACCTAAATATATTTTTGGGAAAATTGGTCCGATATATCGATATATCGATGTTTTTTTCGCGATATATCGAAGCCGATATTGATATTTTTTAAAATATCGATGTATCGATATATCGATATTTTTTTCAACTTTCGACATCCCTAGAAGGAGTACGCTCTTTTTTTGAAGGTTCTTGGGTCGTATTGGTCCGGAAACACTGCTGGCGACAACATATTCCATAGTTTTGTCGTACGTGGTAAAAAAATTCGACAAAAACGCATTTTGCTTATTGTAGTGTTCTTCAATCGTGAATGTTTTATCATCGGTAAAGATGATATTTCTGCGCTAGTCACCTGCGTATCGCGATAGAAGGCGTATTGATCGATCCACTCTCTTTAATTGTAAATATTGATTTAAGACATGTCCTGTATATCGACGATAAGCACCGAGCTTCAGGTCTTGTTTATAATACGCGACAGAGTCTTAGCGGGATCTTCATTTCTCGCGATAAGATTCTTTGCTTCCTTATGGTTCGACGAATTCTGGCTGTATACGCCATCTGTGCATGTAAAAATTGTAGTTCATATGTGTCAAAATATGTTTGGAGCTACATATAGGCAAAACGTCACCAAACTAAAAAAGAAATCTATGATCAAACAAAATCCACCTTAGTTTCATTTAATTCTTTTGCACCTAAGCTCTTGGATTTTAAGAGTCATTTTGGCTTGAACACTGGCTTTAACAGCATTAACAGCCTTTGTAGTTCTAACAGCACGCGGCCGCCCCGATCTTTTCTGTCTTCGGCAGATGAAATGTTGTTGTAACTGTTGATAGTAAGATATACGAACATACGGCTGATACTACGCTTTTGAAGTGTCTGAAATATGATCGACGGCTCCATACCCACTTCAAGGGTGGATCCAGCTTTGGCGCCAGTGGGGGGTCATATGGTCGTGGTCATGTCACAGTGGGTACAGATTAGGGCTGCCATCTCTAAAATGTGGCAACCAGGATAAGACGCGTGATAACCAGAACCCGGACAGACCAATAAAAAACAGTTAAAAATGTCACAAATCACTTTTTTTATGTTGATGTAGGCAAAAAAGCTAGGTCTACCTCATAATAAGTGGTCACTGCTGCCCATGGACACTTGCAGCACCAAGGGCCACTCATGCGTTATTGACGGATTATTTGGCGACCCAAAACAGGATTTTTTTAAACCCGGACTACAAATGAAACCCCGCCCGGACGCTCCCCGGACGCCCCGTAAACTAGGACAAATCCGGGGAAACCCGGACGGATGGCAGCCCTAGTACAGATGGACCCAGCCCAGAGGGGGGGGGGGGGGGTCATGACCCCAATGACCGATGTGCAAGGCGATCACTGCAATCATATTTTCTTTAACACCCCATTCCATATTGTAATTTGATAATGAACACGAAAAATTATGCGGATTATCGTAAGAAGTTTTTAAAATAATATACGTTCAAAAATAAAAATAATAAAAAAGTACAAAAAACTAAATTTTTTTATGTAACACTATTTATGGCCAGACTAGTTACTTACATGTTGTAAGTATTTATTGAATACGACGTAAACTTTTTAGGTACTTTTCCACTTCTAGTGTTTATACAAAAATCGATGTAAACAAAGTTTGTTCACACGAATGAATTGAGATAACATTCTCAAATGTGCATAAATTAAAACTGATGACTAGGATAATAATAAACTATGCCTATGTGAGTTAATAAACCAGATTTCACAGACGAATTTTATGGTCGACTGTTGTAGAGATCAGATAATAAATAGCATTAAGAAAATGTCATACAGATAACATAAGGCAATATAATAATAAAAAGATAATATTTAATTTGAATCAACTCGTCGCTCCGTCCAATAAATTACACAGAGGAGACGTCATCATTAAGAAGCTATCAACCTAACCTACCTATACAATAATACTGAAGATAATGAAATAACGCAAATATAGGGTTCGCAGTCTGCTCTGTAAATTGTTTTCTAGCTAAGTACTTTGATATCATTAAAATTAATAACTTTGTTTTTTTTTTCAATTAAATGTTTTCAATTTTAACTTCACTCGATAGAGTCCTGACTAGTTCAAAAAAGGATTCTAAAGTTGGTCAGCGTTAAAGAAAAGTTTAAGAGCCCTTTTACAAAATTACGCCGCTGCCGTACTGATCGGCGCGTAGGTAGATTTGCACTAGCGTACATTGCGTTTTACGGGTGATGTTTCAAGTATTATAAAATAATTATAAATGAACTAATTATAAAAATATATACATATTTCAGTAGTGCGATGATGGTAGATTAGTTTTGTGGAAGTTTTTGATAGTAATTCTATTTAATTCAATATCAAAATACGAGGTAAACCTGCATTGTTTTTTGGGAAAACTCACGGAGGTTAGATGTTTTTTTCTGATAATTAATGAGGATGGAAAATCAAAATTCTAATACATTATGTTACAACAAAAACATATTTCTGATGTCGCTGTAATTAGTTTGATCTAATTTATTGAACATTATTTAGAGATTCAGGCGTTTGAAGTTGTGCATATTATCGTTTTTTCCGTAATCTAGCAGCGGTAGAGCGATCAGTACAAAAAAGGGAACATAGTATTTACAAATATTCTACATTAAATTACAATGGGAAGAATAAATCTACCGTTTACTTTTATCGGAAATAGTCAAAGTCTTTTCTAGGTTAAACGAGGTGCTCAAAAATTACTATTTTTTGCATAAAATGTGAAAGGGCTAATAAGAATGAAACGCGATCTCACCACCAAGAATTCCCCACCGGGCGAGTGCAGGAGCGGCGGCGCGGGGCTGAGCAGCGCCGTGGCGAGAATGTACCCGAGCGGAGGCAGCGCCAGCGCCAGCAGCGCGCCCAGCGCCGGCGCCGACAGCGGCCGCAGCCACACCCCTGCCAGGCACGCCAGAGGGTTGGCCACCGTGCCCAGCGCCGCCGCCAGGTGGTACGCGCGCGCGCCGTACGGCATGCACGAGTACGACTGCACCGACGGCAGCACGCCGTTCATGAGCGCGTTCAGCGCCAGCATCAGCGCCAGCAGCGCCACCCACTGCGGCCGCAGCAGCGACCCGGCCGCCGCCTCCGCCTCCGCCTCCGCCTCCGCCTCCGAGCTCTTCGCCAGCGCCGTCGGCGCCGCGCGCTCCGTCCGGAACGCCGAGCACCGGTCCACCGACGCGAAGCCGACCAGGCTCAGCGCCGCGAGCGCACTCAGCACCGCCATGAACACGGTGGAGTCGAACCGCGGCGGCGGGTACACCGCCGCGAGCGTCGAGTTGTCCGGAGAGGGCACGCACTCCGGCTCGCCGCCGACGCCCTGCACGAGCGCCAGCACGCTCGGCGCGAACCCGCTGAGGCCCTCCCCGACGAGGTACGTCGCCAGGTACACGTCCCGGTAGTGCCTCAGGTACGGGTAGAACAGCACCGAGCTGGTGCAGCCGACGAGGCCGGCGAAGAAGGTGAGCGCGAGGAAGGCGACCGACCGCTCGGTGCCGCCCACCACCGCGGTCTGCGGGTGGAGGAACGCGTTGAGCAGGAGCGCGAGGGCGCCGACGAGCAGCAGCGCGTAGATGCAGAGGTTCTCGGCGAGGGAGGGCAGCAGGCTGCGCAGCGCGGCGTACAGCAGCGGGCCGACGTTGGCGAGCTGCACCGCGAGCGTCATGCCGGCCGGCAGCGCCCAGCCCTCGGGCAGCCGCTCCACCAGCAGGGGCAGCTGCACGTACAGCCCGTTGACTCCCAGCCAGGTGCCCAGCCCCCAGCACACCATGGCCACGTCGAGGGCCACGCGTCGCTGCACGCCCCACATCTTCGTTCTGGTCTCGCGCGCGCCTAAACAAGGTGAATCTTCGTCGATCGACCTAAACGGTATACCGCGAAACGATCATGTATGAGACTAAATGAAATACTCGATTTGTTAAATACTGTTTGCCTGAATAGATAACGATGTGCATGACTCGCTGCCGGTGTGTGAATGGTGATACACTTTAATGGTTTCTTAGTGAGAGATAAGCAACCTGTATCGTTTATATTTAATCTAAAAGATAGCGACTAAATTACACAATAAAATAAATCTTTTTGAATGTATGTGCGGCCAGTGTGTTCTAAAGAAGCGATACTTTGCTACATGATACAAGTAGATTTCAAATTAAACAGATATTGTGGTGAGTTTGTTGTTATTTCCACAGTCTTGAAGTTGATCTGATTGTTTCCTTCTTGTGAAGTGTGGAGCTCACAAATTCACAATACCATTGTCAATACCCATATGTGACAGCTACATAGTAATTGTTTAAGATTAAATTGTTTATGATAAAGATCATAGAAACAAACCAAAAATGTCTAAAACAAACGAAAAATCCTGATTTTTCATGTAAAAACATTTATTTTATTTTAAACCGATTATTGTTTAGAAACACTAGTTGCAGGTGCATATAATTTATGCAAGTGTAGAAAACAGAAATAAATGATATTAATATATGTGTCTCAGTAAGATAGATAAATCCGTAATATAGTTAAAATAAATCAATCAATCAAAATTAATTTATTTAACAAGCAATAGTGAAGGTCGAGAAGCTATGCCATCGGTTCGCAAATCTACGGCGGGCGACCTTGTACTGAGAAGAACCGGCACGTAACTCAGCAACGAATGTTTTTTCTCCCTGTATTATTATTATATACAGTCGTCAATTTGAAAAAATATTTCGGAGGTAATACTAAAGTCACCTTTTCATAATTAGAATATAGGCATATCGTTCAGCTCTCAATGAGAACTACATGTTTGTGCCGTTTGGTGTTGAGACTATGGACCCATGGGGACCAAGAGCACATTCTCTTTTTAAGGAATTGTCAAAGAGGCTCACTGAAGTTACTGGTGATCAAAAGGCTGGCAGCTATCAAGGTCAACGGATCAGCCTTGCCATCCAATGTGGCAATGCTGCCTGGGGATAAATATTTTTTATTTTGTAAATTATTTATTTGTGTTATTTTAATGTGTTGTGTTACATAATTAATAAAATTATCGGCATATCGTTACAATAAGTTTTATAGTGAGATTTTCATTTTTAGTATATAGGAAGCTGCTTTAGATGCCACATTATAGTTATGAAAAATGTCTAATACCCACATTATCACAAATAGTTATAGTTTCTGCTTACGTTTGGGATTTCTTTGAATTCGCGCCTTCACAGCTTTTATCACTGCTGGAGTCCTAACAGACCGAGGGCGACCACTTCTTGACCTGTCATCTACACTAGAGACTTCATTGTATCGTTTGATGGTATGATAAACAAATCTTTTGGTTATATTAAAATTTTTCAGTATGTCAAAAAATTTTATTGGCGCATAACTGCAACAATGCAATGCAATAACTGCAACACGGTCTTCTTTAAGCATCCACTCCATATTTAAAAATGAGTAAAATTCTAAAAAGTATACATTTTTATTTTCATGAACAATTCAAAATTCAAATTCAATAAACTTTCTTGTGGCCAGCATTCTAAAAGAAAAGTTTTTTCTGTGTGACAATACTTAAGACCTGACTAGGTATATATTATATTTTTCATAGATGTATTGCAATGCCAATGACAAAATATCACTAGAGAATATATCCTGTAACAAAGTTATATGAAAGCAATTCATTACTATTTAACAGACGCAATCTAGATATATATCTATCTAACTAAACTAATCTAGTTAAATAGTTATTACCATAGAATCAAATAAAACAATATATTAGTTTTTAATTTTTATTGCAAAATCAACTATCTGTAACTTGCAATTTACAATACTCCTTTGCCATAATATGTTCTTATTTTTAGTTAACTCCTGAAAAAAAATATTTTGATTGTATTTTGTATTGAAGCATTAACAATATGATTATGATAAATTATTTGTTAAAAAGCTTGGTGTCTGTAAAAAACTTAGAACTGATCAATAGTTTTGAGACTTTTTGATGACATCTACACACAGTCTAACAATTATTTCATTAACCTGAATCAAGTAATATAATTATATTACTGAACTTGTAGCGTTTTATAATTATATTCCTAGTAAGATAGTAATGAATCACTTTCGTATAACTATGTTACTGTATATTATTATATCCCTAGGGATAATAACTATATTACTGTTTTATCTATCTTACTGTGATATATATACTTGCTTAATATTGTTAATTATTGAAAAAAGCAGTTTAAAAAAATACTAATGATTATTAGCTGACCCCAAGTATTATTGGTTACAGATTTTTATTATTTTATAAAATTAATATTATTTCATAAGCAAGTTATTTGCAAACAGCATGTTCTTTGAATTAGTAAAAAGGGAATTTATTAGCACCAAAACAGTAAACTTACCAAAACTTTTGCTGTTTTGTTGTGAATTAGATTAATAATATTGTACACTAACAAAATATGTATATTTTATCTTAGATAATAAAAAGGAACGAAAATTGCTGTAAGCCACATGCAAACTATATACTAATGGATTTTGTAAATTGTAAAATGAATTGTTTTACATACAGTGCGATAGTGCTGCCCACCGAGGCTACAGGACAGGTTGCAATCGTACTCTAACACCTGAAACCGCAATACAAAGCTTGCACGAAGTTCGTCCACTTACATAGCGCAGCACTCAGATGTTCAGTGTTCACGTAACTAAATCGCAACACAAACTGATATACTTGCTTGCGATGCAATGACGTGTGAAGCGTAAATTTCACTAACCTCGTCGTATCCGCCATGTCGTCGGCACCAAGAAGTGGCTTTAACTATTTTTTTTGTATTATTATCTCATTAATTAGCATTATAATTGAAAAAATTACTCATTCGATCGAGTATTTTTTAACCCACCTATTATACGCTATAATAGGAGCAATGATAGCATTTTGAATATGATCAGATAATTTCTAATTTTATTAAAGTATCTTTTAATTACATTAATATCCTTCTAAAAAAATCATTAAAAATGATGAAACAAACACGAATTCTTTTGCTAAAAGCACACTGACAGATGGATGACATTGACGGCTCTCAGCTGAGAGGCAGGCGTTCCGTTTTACGATACGAAATGGAGCGTTCCGATAGTATCCAGAGTTTAATACGCAAGTGAGTTTGATTGTTTCTTTTCACGCCCCTCTGCCACTGCTATTTAAGGTGATATTTGTTAGAGTACGTTTAACTATGGTATAAAGACCATTAAGTCCATTAGACCAGACAGAAACCTGGAGACGGTAAAATTACTTTTGTTGTAAAGATAAAAACTTAATAAAGGTGAAATGGGGGATGAAAACTTCTAATTATATAAAAGAAGAAACTGACTGACTGTGTACTCCAAATTTAGCAGTAGGTTTTTTGTGATGTTTGGGAATGGGAGGGTACCGAAGTTGTTACATGAATTAATTTTAACGCGCATTCGATTAACTCGAAACTCAGTATTTATACTTGAGATCAGAAATAATTATTAGGATTTTCTAGATTTTGGAAGATTCTATCCCTGAGGTATGAATGTTTGTATGAAAAATCGAATTCTTTGGGTTAATACACTTGAAAGTTGGCAGAAAATTTTATCTAAATAAATTATTAAGTTTAAATCTAAAGAAAAGTTTTACTAGAAAAAAATAGAAAAAAAAATCCACGTGGACCAGGCAGCGGACGGGACTCGAACCCGCATCCTTTGCTATCCGGGCGAATGCACTGACCATTATGCTACCACGGCCCTATTAGCCGCGTGGAAATTTTCCTAGCCTTGAGCTGCAAGGCAGCGCCATCTCTTCGCATTGTAGGTAACCCACAATGTCAAATGAATACTTTTTCAAGTATTAAACATTTGAAAGAAGAAATAGCAATTATAGTTATGATTTTATTTATTTTTTAACTAACTGCTAGATGTTTAAATCTAAAGAAAAGTTTTACTAGAAAAAAAACCACGCGGACCAGGTAGCGGACGGGACTCGAACCCGCATCCTTCGCTATCCGGACGAGTGCACTGACCATTATGCTACCACGGCCCTACTAGCCGCGTCGAAATTTTCCTAGCCTTAAGCTGCAAGGCAGCGCCATCTCTTCGCATTGTAGGTTACTCACAATGTCAAATGAATACTTTTTCAAAACAATTTTTTTGTTTTTTTTTAAACATCTAGCAGTTAAATGCTTAAAAAATAAATAAAATCGTAACTATAATAAAAACAGAACTAAGGAACAAAGTTACTTTAACCCTTTTAGTTTCGTCATGTCCGTCCGTTGGTCCGTCCCCAGTTTTGCTTTGAGTCTGTTAGCGCTTTTGTGGAGATAATAATATATTATATCAATGACGTCGACAAAATGGTAGAATAGAATTTTGAAAAATAAATTTTAAGGTAACCAGCCCCCCTAGCATGGGCACCGCGATATGATATAAAACGCGTTTTTATCACGCTCAATTCAATTGTCAAATTACTATGTAGTTTGACAGTTAGACACGATAAAAAACGTGATATAATGTAAATTGTGGCGCTCATGCTACGAGAACTGGGGATGATTTTCTTTTTTCATCGTCAACCCTATCGTGTGGGATAGGTCTTTTAAAAGTACTTAAGAGTTTCTAAGACTATTTTTCGATTTAGGGATCCCTTTGCGAAATATTGAACTTTAAAGGGCTAATTTTTGTTGGAGTAGTTATTATTAAGTAGTAATTTTTGAGACACAGTTTGACTTTAAGGTATTGAAGTTGAGTGAGATACGTAGTTTGATATTAATTGTTTTTTTTTTTAATTTTCCGATGGAGAAAATATAGATGCCTGCTCAAATATATTGTGGTAACAGGTTGACGATAGGCAACTACGGAACCATACACTGCGCGTGGCACGACACGCACTTGGCCGGTTTTTTCTTACTAGGTGCTTACTTAGCAAATAAGTAAAATCGATTTCAGGCCGACTCCTTAATCGTAAAACTGTATGCAGTGCACACAAGTTATGAGCACAACTTGCATGCAGGGCCTGATTTACCCACAGGCTAATAAGGCTGGAGCCTAGGGCGCATGGACCAAGGGGGCGGGCGTGGCGGTGAGCTTAGACTAACGTCAAGGGGGGCAGACGGACATCATAACCAAGAAACCAAATTATACTTTCAGCCTTTGTATAAGTTTTTAATACATTTTGGCCTAGATCCTGGGTTCCGAACCTGGGGGTAATCCGGGAGTAAATCAGCCATACTTCGGGGGTAACAAAGAACCTAATTATTTGGTCAAATCTAAATAATACTACTGAATAGAGCATGCGCTCCTTCTTGCTAGTGAGCACGCGGGGTGCTGAGTGTGGGAAGCGGGCCGCGATTTTCTCCTAATGATGACATAAGTAGAGATGAAGATGTAGCGGCCAAATTGAAATTTCTTGGACTGATAATAACATTTTAAAGTCGGGGTAAAATCTGTTTCCC